AAAAAAAAAATTAAATTTAAAAAAGGAAATTCGCCCCCGCCGTCCGAAATTTCGAAATGTGCGAACACCCTGTATTTAAATTTAAATATAATAATAATTTTTAACTATATTTTGCCAACATAGGTTTTATAATAAATAGGTTTTTAAATTAAATTTTATCTAAAAGTCCACATTAAGGAAAGTATAATAACTATATTATTTTATTTTAATAATAATTCCAATTTAATTATTCAAATAATATTTTTTAATTAATTCTAAAAAAAAAAAAAATCAAAAATTAAAAAAAAAAAAAAAAAAAAAAAAATGATTATATATAAGTATAAAAAATAAACAACTAATAAATAATTATATTATGTGTAATGAAAATGTAGTTTCATTAAATTTTAGATATTAATTTTTTATTTATACATTATTTGTATTTCATCAATAAAGTTCCTTAACTTTCCCATTGGCCTATCAGTTTGGTAAAATGGTAATTCCCTATTTTATTTTTAGTATTTGTCTTGATAACTTTAAAAATTTTCATATTGTATAAAGAACAAAAAGCCTCGACCAAGAACACTACTTAATTTCCTTTTAAAATAAAAATTAAATAAACTTTTTTTTTTAGACAAATAAAAAATATAAATAAAAAAGATTTATAAATTAATTTTATATAACTATTGTTTTATTTATTTTGGCTTTATTTAAAATTGGGTTTCTGGTCTATTTTTAAGGTATTCTTGGACACCAGCATTTGATTCAAAATATTTCTTTAATTCTTCAAGTTGTGGGTATTGAGTGGCATTAACATCTTCAGAAAAACCACGGAATTGGATATATTCATAAGCAACATAAACATATAAATCAGCAATGGTATATGAATCACCAACTAAATATTTCTTTTCTTTTAATTCGTTATTGTATTTACCAAAGATTTTTGGGAAAGTAATGTTTTTAAGTTTTTCTTTCTATAATTATTAAAATAATAATATTAATATCTTTATTTTTTTTTTTTTTTTTTTAAATATGAATCGCCATATAGATTTACTTACATCTAAAGTAGCTGGACTGAGGGCAGTGAATAAGTCACTGTGAATGGCACTGATGACTTCATCAACTTTGGTTTCTTCTTGGAGGGTTTTACCAGCAAAGTTATATTTTTTAGCGATATAACGAGCAATGGTTTGTGATTGAGCAACAACAAAGTCACCATCTAATTAAATCAAATTTTTAAATTAATTTTCATTTTTTTATTTTTTATTTTTTAATATATATTTATATTACCTCTGAAAATTGGGAGTTGACCGTATGGTAATTTTTCTCTTAAGGCATCATCAACAGTTTCAACAGTAACATTTTCAAATGGAACATTTAAATATGAAAGAGCAACACGTGAAAATTGAGCAAAACCTCTACCTTTGAAATAAGTTAAACTTGGGACTTCTGACATTTTATTTATTTTTTTATATTAATTATTAAAATTATTTATTAAAATTTATTTTTATTTATTTGATTATTTTGAAATATTTATAATTAACGATAAAAAAAAATTTAATTTATAGTCTGAAACTTTTTTTAAAAAAAGAAAAAAAATATTAAAATAAAAATATAAAATTTACTTTAAAAAAAAATTTAAACCAAATTTCAATTAAATTTTTGGTCAAGTAAAATTTAGAAATATCTATTTTAATATTTTTTTTAAAAATAAAAAGAATCACATTCTTTTACGAAAAAAAAACAACAATCAATTACGAAGAAAAAATTAATATTGGATTTTTAAAAAGTACTGGTTTATGGGTTTTATATATTTTTTTTTGAAATTTTTAAAATTTCTATTTTAATATATTTTTTTTTTATTTAATCATTTGATAATGCTTCAGAAGAACTATTAAATACATTCTTTGTATAAAAATAAAATATAATTATTACTAACTGTTTACCCACTATTTTTTAAATCTAAAAATAACAAAAAACAAATTACCCCACCTATTCTTTATGTGGTATTCTTTTAAAAAGCAAAAAAAAATAAAAATTAATAAAAAAATATTTTAAAAAATAAAAATATTGGTTATTGTTTTGTTGGTGTTGATATTATTTGTTGAGGCAGTTTATGTGAATAAAAAATAATAAAAAATATTTTTATGAATAGGTTGTGTTAAAACAAATAAAGTAATACCACTAAGGTTAATCTCATTTTATTTCATCAAGTTATTTAAATAATAGTACACAAGTAATTTTTATTTGCACAACAACCCTAGTTTATATTAATATATTCCCACATTGGGCATGTTTTATGCAATAGGTTTATTGGTGGACATCTTGAATGAAATCTGAAATGTGTGTTTCTGCCTTTGGGATCCTTTAGTTTTAATAAAAATATTTTTTATATAATAAAAAAAAAAGAAATACAAATTTAATATTACAATTTGTGTAACCTTAATATGTGAATCTATTTATAAAATTAATTGATTTTTTAAATTATTCCCAAAAATAAATTCTGTGATTTAAATTAAATGAAAAAAATGATCAAAAAAAAAAAAAATTAAAAAAATTAAAAAATAAAAAAATAAAAATTAAAAAAAAGTTTTAAAAAATAACTTTTTTTTTTTTATCATTTCATTATTTTTTTAATACTTATTATTTATTTAAAAAAGAAAATGAAAGAACAAACAGCAAATAGCAGTAATGCAGAAGTTGTTAAACAAAACAAAATTAGAGCAAAGAGTGCATGGCTAAGAAAAGGGCATGCTAGAGGAAGTGCCATTTCATGTGGATTAGGTATTGGAATTGGCTTTGGTTTTGCATTGTTTTTATTAAGCGAAACTACTAAAAACTTTGGTATTTATATGATGGGTATATGCATATTCCACATGTGGGAGTATATTTGGGTTGCAATGTATCATCCAGAAAAACTATCAAGCAAATGTAAGTACATACATACACTTTACAACTATATAGATCTCAAATATCAGATTCATTAAAAGAGGTATATCAGTATTTATTAACATACAAATATTTTAATTTAAAAAAAAAAAAAAAAAAAAACCATTATTGCAGCATTTTTATTAAATCACAGTCCACAATTTAATATGGCATTAACTATCAGTTTCTTTGAATATTGGATCGAATGGTATTTCTTCCCAAATATGAAAACAGTATCATTATGGTATATCGGTGCAGTATTTATGGTTCTTGGTCAAGTAGTTAGATCACTTGCCATGAATACAGCAGGTTCAAACTTTACCCATATCGTTCAAGAAGAAAAAAGAGAAACACACGAACTTGTAACAACTGGTATTTATAAATTTATGAGACATCCATCTTATTTTGGTTGGTTCTTATGGAGCGTTTCAACACAATTGGTTTTATTAAATCCAATTAGTATTGTTGGTTTTGGTTGGGCTTCATTTAAATTCTTTTCAAATAGAATCGAATATGAAGAGGATTATTTAATTGACTTCTTTGGTAAATCATATAAAGATTATAAAGAGAATGTTTGGTCCGGTATTCCATTTATTCAATAAATAAATAGATAATAATAAATAATAATAATAAATAATAAACCAATAAAAAAATTTCATTTGTATTTTTAAATATTTCATTCATATGTTTAAATAAAAATTAATTTTTATTTTACCTTTTATTTGTACTACAAATATATTTTTAAATTGTATTTTTTAAAAAAATCTCCAATTAGACTTCCAATAAATAATAAACCCAATCATTATTTCAATTTTCAAAATTATAACAAATAATAGTGAAAATTTTACTATTTCTATTTTTTTTGTTTTCATTTTTAGATCTTAAAAGTAAATCAAATTTAATTAAAAAAAAAAATATCAATTTATTTGGATAAATCAAAAAAAAGATGTCTAAAGAAATAATTGAAATGATCATCGGGTTAAAATTAAAAATTGAAATTGATCAATTTTAAATTCAGATTTTACTTTATTTTGGACAATTGATTATTAAATTCCAATAAAAATAAAAAGATATTTTCTAAATAAAATAAAATGAACATTTGTTTTCACAATGAACCATTTTAATTTATTTATTTGAATAAAAAAATAATGTTTTTTTTTGATTTTTTTTAAAATTTTTTTTTTTTTTTTTTAAAAATTAAATTTTTTATTTTTTTTTTAAAATTATTTTTTTAATTATTTTTTTTATTTTTTTTTAATTAATACTTTTAATATAAAAAACTTTTTTAGATAGAATCTATATAAGTTCAATTATAGTTTTATATTTCCTCAATCTTGTATTAATAATAAATACTATATATATTTAATTTTTTATATATATATATTTTTTTTTTTTATTTTTTAAAAAAATAAATAAAAACTTGTATAATATTTGTAAAACACCACAACCAATAATTTTAAATAATAATTTTTATCAATAATAATAATAATAATAACAACAATAAATAATAAAAAATGAATAATGGAGAATACGAAGAATATGAAAATAATCAAAATGATGATAATAATATAGATCAAGATAACGATATAAATAATAATGCTGAAAACGGAGAATATTACGACAACTATAACAATTTCGAACCAATTTGGGTTAGAGCGTTATACGATTATGATGCCGCACAAGACTCTGAAATTAGTTTTAAAGAGAACGATGTTATTTGCATTACACAAGACTATGGAGATGGATGGTGGGAAGGTGATTTAAATGGCAGTGCAGGAAGAGTACCAGCAAACTATTTCGAATACATTACCCAAGATCAAGATGGTCAATATCAATATGGTGACCAAGGTTATGACCAAAGTGGCTATTACCAAGATGATCAACAGCAACAATATGATGAACAAACCTATTATGACCAACAACAATACGACGACCAAGGTGGCTATTATGAACATCAACAACAAGAATGTGGCTATGATGAAACAGGCTCTCCAATTGATGAAGAAAAAGAAAACCAAAGAAAAGAATTATTAAAACAAAAAAGAGAAGCCTATAAGAAAGAAATGAAAGAATTACAAGACAATTTTAAGAGTCAAAGTGAATCAAATGAAAAACTTAGTAGTGAGGTAGAGGGATTAGAAAATCAAAGAGACCAATTGGAAGATAGAATTAGATTACTCAAACTATTAAGATATATACATTTAGAGATTATAAAAACAGAAATTGATATTGATTTAGACTCTGATTCATCAACACAATCACGTAACACCGGTATTGTTATCACCCAAGATCTCAAATCTATCAGATTAATATTAGCCTCGCTCAAATCATCAACTGCCGATATTCCAAAGAAACAATTTGATGCCAAATTAGAAGAGCTCGAGAAAAAAGTTACAAATAATTTAATTCTATTGGATGTTTGTGACAATTTAAAGAAATCACTATACCTCAGTTTACAAGTTTTTCAAAGTGCTATAATACAACAACAACAATCTAATGAAAGCAGACTCCCACCTCCTCCTTTAATAGTACCACCACCAATTTCATCCTCATCACAACCTGGTGGTTTTGTACCAACTACTTCAAATGCTCCAAATCCATTTTACTCCCCAGCTACTTTAATCGCCCCATCTTCAGACAAAGATAAAAGAAAGTCAATGAAAGAGGCTAAAAAATTAGAAAAATTAGAAAAGAAAGAAGAAAAGAAATTAGAAAAGCTTGAAAAGAAAGAAAAGAAAAAAGAAGAAGAATCTCCAATTTGGAAAGGAAAAAAATAATATTAAAAATAATAAAAAAAAAACAAATAAACCAAATCAATCCGTATATTTATTTATTTAACCAAATGGTATATTTAACAAACAATACAATAAAAACTATAATTATAATAATAATATTTATAATTAATAAGTATTAAAATAAAAATACATAAAATTTAGAAAAAAAAAAGAAATTAGAATTATTTTTAGATTTTACATAAAATTTCATTAAACTATATTAAATTTTTAAATGAAAAAAAAGAATTAAAAATTAATTTAATCTCTATTTAAAAATTCTTTATTATTGAACTTTTTTATTTAATATTCCTATCAAATTTATATATATTAATCACTATAAAATATATAAACTGAAATTAATTTTTTTTTTTTTTTTATATATACTATTTTATTAATTTATTTATTTATTTATTCTTCATCTTCTTCTTCTTCAACATCGATAATTTCTTCATTATCAGCAAATAATGACCAATCAACTTGAGCGGCGACTTCTTCTAATTTTGGTTTGAGTGAGGCAACTGAAATATCAGAGGTTTCTTCACCTTCTTCCATTAATTTAGAATCAGAGCTATAAAGTGTAATATCAGATTCGAATAATTGTCTACCAGTGAGTTTGGTTGTGGTTTGTTTTTCTGATTTTTTAAATGGTTTAGTTTCTTCTATAAATTTCTTTCTCCAAGCTAAAAATGCCTCGGCTGTAACTGGTGTACCTTCAAATACTTTTTCTTCTTCTTCTGGTTCTTCCTCTGATGATTCTTCAACTAATAATGATTCTGGATCAATATTATTATTATCTAACCATTCTTTTATTAAACCTGCTAAAATGAAAATCATTGACATTCCAATATTGTTTTCTGCTTCTTGTATAATTTGTTGTTCTAAATCTAAAATATTTTCTTTTTCTACATTTAATGTTGGTACTAATTCAATTTTTGGTACTGAATTTGGGTAATCTTCTGAAAATACAATATCTAAAATAATTCCAACTATATATTTTTAAAAATTTTAATTAATATGATTGAATCAAGTTAATAAACTAATTAATATAAATATATATTCTTACCAAAATTTGGTTCGCCACCTGGATTTGGTAAAAGGGTTATCTGTATATGGTCTGGATTTATATCTGTTGTATAAAGTATGAAGTTGATTAATAAATTTTAAATTTCTTTGTATACTTTATTTCTTTTAAACTTGGTTGATTCAACTACATACTATTAAAATGGTCCATATAAATAGCACCGAGTGCTT